GCGAGCATTCGTAATAAGCATTTGCAAGAGCTTCACGGATCAAGGGCGGCTCCTTTTCAAACTGTGGTTCCCGCCTTAGCGCCGCGCACGTTCGTTCGTTTTTCCGTTTCTCTTTTATAGGAAAATAAAAAAAAAACTTCATATGTTGAGGGCGTGTTTTTTTTGTTTTCAGAATGTGGTTCTCGCCTGCACGCCGCGCACATTCGTCCTAAACCATTGCAAGAGTTTCACGGAATTCCGTGATCAGCGTACCAGAAATGGTGTTCTGGAAGGACTCAGGATTATGAGGGTGCAACGGGAGTGGCGTTCTGGCACGATTCAGGATCGTCAAGACGCAACAATCAGGTTGATCCGTGGCGTTGGAATCCCGAGAACAATGTTTTGACATGCAGTGGAAATGGACCCTTTTAGGGGCCTGTGAAGAGGGAGCTTGGAGGGAGGGGTTATTCCAACATCGTTGATGAGCGTTGGGTTTACAATGGTCCTCCTCCTGCTCCTCCTCCTTCTCCTCCTCCTACTACTCCTCCTCCCCCTCCTCCTACTCCTCCTTTCCGCACCCCCACGCGGGCCCCGGGGACGGCCCGATGAGACCCTCCAAGGCCACCCCTTTGCTCCCACAGATTTCCCTGTTCACCCTGGTTGCCAGCTTTGTTTCACTACATATGTCTCTTCGTCCCCATCCCCGTCAACTCTCATGGGCTGGTGGGGAAACGCGAAACGTGACCTGGCTCGTCGAGCGCCCCACCACGAAGAGGGGAAAAGGGCCGCCATGCCCCCCGCTCCCGACGGGGAGGTCTCAGGAGGTTGCAAATCGAAGGCGCGCCTGGACGGAACAAAAAAAACACCCCGCCAGAAGTGCGGGCGCCAGTCCCAGGACGGCTGGAAAGTCTACACCCCCACGTGCTGATCAAGGGCAATGGCCTCCCAGCCGCCCTGGGACAGATGCCCTCGACCGTGGAAAAGCTTGTTTCGTAGGTAGCACCCCGCAGTTGCGGATCAGAGCGAGGGGGCGGCGAGGACGTCGGCAATCTGTGAGGCTCTGAAGAAGCCCGCCGCAGGCGACGAACTTTTACAAATTATGAGCCCGCCGCAGCCGCCAATATTTTCGTTAAGCCAATGTGGGTGGTTCGCAGGGTTGGTCGCGGGTGGATCGCGGGTGGATCGCGGGTGGGTCGCAGGGCGCAGGTGGGTCGCAGCGGGTGGGTCGCGGGTGGGTCGCGGGTGGGTCGCGGGTGGGTCGCGGGCGGGTCGCGGGGTGGGTCGCGGGTGGGTCACGGGTGGGTCGGCGGGTGGGTCGCCGGATGGGTCGCGGTGGGTCGCGGGGGGTCGCGGGTGGGACGCGGTTGGAAAGCGGGCCGGGTCGCGGGGGGGACGACAACAACAAGAACAACAACAACAATCAATTAAAGACTGTTCGCCCTTATCTGCTCGAGTGTCCAATAACGTGTATTTCACAAACCCTCGATACCCGCCCTCTTCGTCTTCGATCAAATGCCTTTTGGGGGGTATACCTTTCTTCCCTGCAGGCCGGGCCCCGGCAAGCGGCGGGGCGGCCGCGGACCGTCGGCCTGGCCAGCGGCAGCGCTGATCGGCGGGCCGGCCGCGGACCGTCGACCCGACCCCAAGAGGGACGGACAAGGGACCGACCACGACGACGACGACGACGACGACGACGACGACGACGACGACGACGACGGCGACGACGGCGACGACGAGCGAAAGCGAGAGCGAGAGAGAACGACATCAGGGCCACGAAGGACACGAAGTAGGCCGCGAAGGGCGACAGCGGGGACACGAAGGGAATGCGTATGGGGCCGGTATACCTTTCTTCCCTGCAGGCCGGGCCCCGGCAAGCGGCGGGGCGGCCGCGGACCGTCGGCCTGGCCAGCGGCAGCGCTGATCGGCGGGGCGGCCGCGGACCGTCGACCCGACCCCAAGAGGGACGGACAAGGGGACCGACCACGACGACGACGACAACGACGACGACGACGGCGAAGACGACGGCGACGACGACGACGAAGACGACGAGCGAAAGCGAGAGCGAGAGAGAACGACAGCAGGGCCACGAAGGGCACGAAGTAGGCCACGAAGGGCGACAGCGGGGACACGAAGGGACTGCGTATGGGGCCACGAAGAGCGCGAACGAGCGGGGGCCACGAAGTGCAGATAATGCGGGGCAACAGAAGGCAACGATCGGGCCACTAAGGGTAGCAACTGGGCCACGTAGGACAGTGAGGGGGCCACAAATGGCGACAGCGGGGCCACGAAACGCATGCACATGGGGCCACAACGGGCGCGACTCCTGGGTGCCTGGGTGTCGGGAGCGCGGCGCTTGGGCAAATTGCAGCCAACGCAAGGCCATTGTTCAGTAAGTTGCAAGCAAGTCTCCAGCGAGAGCGCGACTCCAGAACGCCGGGAGAGCGATTCCTGAATAAATTGTAAGGAAGTCCCAAGCGAGAACGCGATTCCTGAATAAAATGCGAGGAAGTCTCGGGCGGGAGCGGGGGTCCTGGCTAAATTGCAAGGACGTCTCAGGCGGGAGCCGTTGTTGTTGTAACCCGGGGGCCGGGGGCCCAGTTTGAGCATCAAGACTTTCCCTGTCAAAAGACAGGGTGCGAGCGTCGAGGGGT